CAGTCTGAAGCCTGGTGCTAGGTTTGACCCAGGATACTTGGGAAGGACTGACTGACCGACAGGCTGAATGACTGGATAGGCCCCAGGATGAGGCAACACAACATGCTAAGTACCTGAATGCAAGGTTTCCCAACGAAAAGGTCTCAAGAGTCTTCTGGCCAAGGTGAATATCCAAATTTCCGTATATAGGTGAAAGGCACATCTACTCATATTTATTCCACTTAATCACATACTTACACACCAGTTAACTAATGTTTCTAAAGAATATTCTGCCTTCTTTCCATGTTCATACTTTATGAAATAATCTTATTCAAGTTCTTATGCATCTACAATTCCAGTGGCTTTATATTTACTAAAAGGCACATCTTTCTCTTTCTTTTTCTTTCTTTCTTTCTTATCTTTTGCGTATCTCAACTTTTTTTTTTAATATATTTTATTGATTTTTTACAGAGAGGAAGGGAGAGAGATAGAGAGCTAGAAACATCGATGAGAGAGAAACATCGATCAGCCGCCTCCTGCACATCTCCTACTGGGGATATGCCCGCAACCAAGGTACATGCCCTTGACCGGAATCGAACCTGGGACCTTTCAGTCTGCAGGCCGACGCTCTATCCACTGAGCCAAACCGGTTTCGGCTCAACTTTTATTTTTTATTTTTTTTAAATAATTCTTTATTGTTAAAAATATTACATATGTCCCCCCTTTCCCCCCACTAACCTCCTTCAGCCTACCCCTGCCCCCTCCCCTCTACCCTGGCCTTCAGCACCCTATTATCTGTGTCCATGGGTTATGCATATATGCATACAAGGTTTTTGGTTGATTACCTCCCACCCTCCCCCGAATTCCCTTTAAGATTCCACACTCTGTTCCATGCTTTGAGTCTCTGGATCCACTCTGTTCATCAATTTATTTTGTTACTTAGATTCCACATATGTGTGCGATCATGTGATACTTAATCTTTTTCTGACTTATTTCACTTAGCATGATACTCTCCTATGTCCCCCCTTTCCCCCCACTAACCTCCTTCAGCCTGCCCCTGCCCCCTCCCCTCTACCCTGGCCTTCAGCACCCTATTATCTGTGTCCATGGGTTATGCATATATGCATACAAGGTTTTTGGTTGATTACCTCCCACCCTCCCCCGAATTCCCTTTAAGATTCCACACTCTGTTCCATGCTTTGAGTCTCTGGATCCACTCTGTTCATCAATTTATTTTGTTACTTAGATTCCACATATGTGTGCGATCATGTGATACTTAATCTTTTTCTGACTTATTTCACTTAGCATGATACTCTCCAGGTCCCTCCATGCTGTCTCAAAGGCTAAGAGATTCTTCT